CCTTCCCCCCCCCCCCCCCATAGCTAGAAATCCAAAACAGTCCAGTGGAGCCTGAGCGGTGGGTGTTGCCTTCTGACACACTTCTGGTGATGTCAGGGGGTGTGGCATATGCAAATGAGCCATGCTAATGAGTTATGCTCATGAGCTCCTGCACCTCTTTTTCTACAAAATTACGCGATCTGTGGCGTGAATGTCACAAGGGTTACACGTTGCTCTGTCGCCCCCGACAAACACTCACCGGTAGGGGCGGTGACCAACTTGGTCGTCATGATTGTCCCGTTGCTGCTCACCACCATGATGGGAGAGTTGCTGCTGCTGGGCAAGGTGGCCGTGACTGGCTTGGGGAGGATCTTGCTGGGCTGCACCTGCTGAGTGATGATTTTGACCCCTGGCAGAGGAAACGGGGAAGCTTCAGACAGGGAAGAGGGCACAGGCCAATGTACGCACGACGGAGACACATGTGGAGACAACGTGAGAACCTAAGAGAAGCATCTGGTGAACCGACATTCCCTTCCCCGACTCCGTGCCCAACAGTTCAGTTGGACGGCTAGGGATCGAGAGACCGGAGGAAACAGGGACGTGGGAGCAGCTCGTTGATGGTAGTGTGATATAACTACCAGGGGAACCTTGAAGTGATGCCATGCCTCTCCAGGAATCACCAACATACAACAGATACCGTGCAGATGAATTATAACCTATCATAAATATTTTTATATATTGAAAAATATTATTACAATAATTTCTTCATACATATTAATAATCTTAGTCACCATTCATAATATAAGACATCAAAACGTCAAATATCATCTCCATAGATTCTCAAAAGATATAGTACACCCTTATAATATATACTAGTCCTCCTCTGTAAAAAAGTTTCAAAAGGGAGGACTCCTTAAATTCTCTTTACATGTGCTCTGTCTTCCTCCAACAGAGGTCCAGATGTCCTTCTGTTTCAGAATCTTCCTCAGGGAGTTCAACAATAATTTTCAGCACAAGGTTGCTAAATACCAAAGTTTTAATCCAAAATTCTCTTTCAATGAACGCTGCAAAAAGTTTTTTGATGAGCTACAAGCCTCCTCCAAATCACCAGCAACTCTATGGTAAAACCATATGGTAAAAAAAAATGGCCACCAGGAAGCCATATCACGCCTCTCTAGGAATCACTAGAAACTCTATGTTGAAACCATAGAGTTTCTGGAGATTCCTACAGAGGCGTGATGTCACTTCCCGCCAGCCATATTTAAAAATGTTCTCCCCCTGCCACTCTGGCAGCAGGAAAACAGGAACTGGCAGTCCTATGGTTAACCTCAGAGCTCCAGGGTTGCAACCAGCACGACAAGGTCCCCGTTACCTGATTCCTGCTTGATCTGGATGGTGGGCTTGATGCCGGGGGGCAGAGGAGACGGTTGAGGGGGTGGCGGCGGTGGCTGGGGTGGCGTCGGCGTCTGGGTGACCGGTGACGTTTGGGTCAGCTGCGGCTGCTGTTGTTGCTGCTGCTTGGGAAACTGCGCGAGGATCTGGGTCGGCGTCCCCACCAAGCTTTTGGGAGAAGGCAGCCTGGCCGAGGCCACCTTAATGGCCGACGTGGACACCCCTGGAAGAGAGGAGGTGGGCTCAGATCTCGTTGTCGTCCCGTTCTCTCCCCCCCCCTCCCGTTTGCTCCCACTGAGGTATGGCGGCTGCTGAACTGGATCCCGACCCCCGCACTCGGGAAAGCGGGACGAGACCGTGCAGTGGCTGGAGCCTCGGAACTGGTATCTGGGGGCCTGAGGCGTGAATCCCCACTCTGCGGCAGAAAGCCCTGGGGCCAATTGCACGCTTTCGGCCTCACCTCCCTCGCAGGGTTGCAGTGAGGATAAAATGGAGAAGAGGAGAATGACATAAAGTCCCTTTGGGTCCCTGTTGGGGAGGAAGGCAGGGCAGAAACGAAGTAAACCAACGAACAAAGATTGCCGGGATCCAAGGAGGAGCCAGTTTGGTGTCGTGGCGAGGAGCGCAGACTCCAATCTGGGAGAACCGGGTTCGATTCCCCACTCCTCCACATGCAGCCAGCTGGGTGACCTTGGGTCAGTCACGAGCTGTTCTCTCAAGGGCAGTCCTCGAAAGAGCTCTCTCAGGCCCACCTACCTCACAGGGTGTCTGTTGTGGGGACGGGGAGGGAAAGGAGATTGTAAGCCGCTCTGAGACTCCCTCGGGTAGTGAAGGGAGGTATAAATCCTCCCCCCCCACCTGTTCTTTGAGCGGAAACTTGGGTGAGCCTAAGACCTTCCTCGCAGGTCAGGTGTGGTCAGCCCAAGTGTGCCTTCTAACTTTTCAAATTCCATTTGTTCCCATGATTTACTTTATTAAAACATCTGTAACTGGCCTTTCTTTGTGGTTCAAGGCTACGTACAACATACTTCTGATCCCCCCCCCCCTAGTTTTTGTGATCTAGTCCTACTGCATCATTTACTAGACGTTGCAGATTCTTTGACTGAACTTTCTTACACTACATGATCCATAAGAACATCTGGAGCGCCCTGCTGGATCAGACCAGAGGACCATCTAGTCCAGCATCCTGTCTCACACAGTGGCCAACCAGTTCCCCTGGAGGGCCAACAACAGGGCAGAGAGGCTGAGGCCTTCCCCTGATAAGAACCTCAGAAGAGCCCTGCTGGATCAGACCAGTGAGGGTCCATCTAGTCCAGCATCCCGTCTCACACAGGGGCCAGCCAGTTCCTCTGGAGGGCCAACAACAGGGCAGAGAGGCTGAGGCCTTCCCCTGATAAGAACCTCAGAAGAGCCCTGCTGGATCAGACCAGTGAGGGTCCATCTAGTCCAGCCTCCTCTCTCACACAAGGGCCAGCCAGAACAGTTTGGTGTAGTCGTTAAGCACGTGGAATCTAATCTGAAAGAGGTGGGGAGGGGAAGGGAGAGGGTCTTGTAAACCGCTCTGAGACGCCTTCGGGCAGTCAAGGGCGGGGTATAAACCCAATCTCTTCCTCCTCTTCTTCTCTTAAAGCCAGCAGAAAGCCCGCCAGAGATGACCAGCGTCTCACCCTGTGCTACAGTTGACATCACGACGGATGGCGTGGAGGACACCACGGTGGTCACGGCCACGGTGCTGGGCGTGGAGGAGGGCGTGGCGCAGCTGCTGGCACTAAACCCAATCTCTTCCTCCTCCTCTTCTCTTAAAGCCGGCAGAAAGCCTGCCAGAGATGACCGGTGTCTCACCCTGCGCGACGGTTGACATCACGACGGACGGCGTGGAGGACACCACGGTGGTTACGGCCACGGTGCTGGGAGCGGAGGGCGCGGCGCAGCTGCTGGCGCTGCTGCTGACCAGGGAGGACTGGGGGGCGGTGATGACCACCGGCTGCTTTTGCGTGGTCGAGGCGATGACGGAGGTGGGGACCAGCTTGGTGACGGCCGCGTAGTTGTGAGACTTGGACAGGATGTTGGGCACGAAGGTGGAGCTGGGCGACGTGGTGACGATGATCACCTGGAAAGGAAGGACAGGCACGTTGCGCTCACTGCGTCGGGAGCTGGGACCGCTTTCCGCAGAAAGCTTCCGCTGATGGTCTCGCGGCCCGCGGGATGTGGCTGGTTTGCAATGGGGCTTTGGCGACTGTCTATTCAAGGCACGTTGCGCTCACTGCGTCGGGAGCCGGGACCGCTTTCCGCAGAAAACTTCCGCTGACGGTCTCGCGGCCCGCGGGATGTTGCTGGTTTGCAATGGGGCTTTGGCAACTGACTATTCAGAACCTCTCGCAGGGGGAAAGCTAGATCAGGGTCCAGTCACACCGGGAAGCAACAGGATCTTCGGGGCGTACCCTTTCAAGGGCCGAAGCTCCCTTCGTCAGACTGCGGAGGGCTGAAAACCCCGAGAATCTTGTTGGTATCGAAGGTGCTGCTGGAGTCATATCTAAGTCTTGTACTGCGTCAAGACAGCTATCCTCTCAAACTAGTATCAGGGAAGGGTCCTTGTACCAGGGAAGTGCCGCTGTCAGTGGAATAGGTAAGAACAGGAGAGAAGCCATGTTGGATCAGGCCAATGGCCCATCCAGTCCAGCACTCTGTGTCACACAGGGGCCAAAACCCAGGAGCCATCAGGAGGTCCACCGGCAGGGCCAGAACTCCACAAGACCTCCCACTGTTGCCCCCAAGCACCAAGAAGACAGAGCATCCCTGCTCCAGACATAAGAACATAAGAGAAGCCATGTTGGGTCAGGCCAGTGGCCCATCCAGTCCAACACTCGCAATGGGGCTTTGGCAACTGACTATTCAGAACCTCTCGCAGGGGGAAAGCTAGATCAGGGTCCAGTCACACCGGGAAGCAACAGGATCTTCGGGGCGTACCCTTTCAAGGGCCGAAGCTCCCTTCGTCAGACTGCGGAGGGCTGAAAACCCCGAGAATCTTGTTGGTATCGAAGGTGCTGCTGGAGTCATATCTAAGTCTTGTACTGCGTCAAGACGGCTAATCCTCTCAAACTTGTGTCGGGGAAGGGCCCTTGCACCAGGGAAGTGCCGCTGTCAGTGGAACAGGTAAGAACAGGAGAGAAGCCATGTTGGATCAGGCCAATGGCCCAGCACTCTGTGTCACACGGTGGCCAAAACCCAGGGGCCATCGGGAGGTCCACCGGCGGGGCCAGAACTCCAGAAGCCCTCCCGCTGTTGTTCCCCCCCCAGGCACCAAGAAGACAGAGCATCGCTGCCCCAGACATAAGAACATAAGAGAAGCCATGTTGGATCAGGCCAGTGGCCCATCCAGTCCAACACTCTGTGTCACACAGTGGCCAAAACCCAGGGGCCATCAGGAGGTCCACCTGCCCTTCCACACTTTTGCCCCCCAAGCACCAAGAACGCAGAGCATCACTGCTAGATTGCGCTAGCCTGGGCTATGCAAGTCAGGATCTGGAAGACCCGGGTTCAAATTGACCCTCTGAAACAGTGGAAACGTTACTGAATGCAGAGTGTTTTGCTTGCCGCTTGTGTATTTAGGGAATCTATGTAATACAAGACTGCAAGACTGTAATGTCGTAATAAGAAATGCAATAATACACTTTTAATGTAAAACTTGAACTTGATAGTATATTCATTGAGGTGAAAGAGCTATACACACTATTCATCTTGTGGTTTCTGCAGTGGTGAAAAAGGCAACGTCTATGTCAGGGATTATTAGAAAAGGGACTGAGAATGAGCTGATATTGTAATGCCCCTGTGTAGATCGATGGTGCGGCCTCATTGGGAATAGTGTGTGCAGTTCTGGTCACCTTATCACAAAAAAGGACGTTGCAGAACTGGAAAAAGGACAGAGGAGGGCGACCCAGATGATGAGGGGATTGGAGCCCCTTCCCTACGAGGAAAGGCGGAAGAGTCTGGGACTTTTCAGCTTAAAAAATTACTGTGGGGGGGGGATACACACGATAGCAGTTTATAAAATTGTGCATGGGGTGGAGAGAGCTGACAAAAAAAAAATTCTCCCTCTCCCAAAGTACTAGAAGTCAAGGGCATCCAATGAAGCCGATGGGCAGTAGGTTCAGGACAGACAAAAGGAAATGCGACTTTACCCAAATAACTGTAATTGACCCTATGAAACAGTGGAAACGTTACTGAATGCAGAGTGTTTTGCTTGCCGCTTGTGTATTTAGGGAATCTATGTAATACATTTGGAAGCTGTTGCAAGACTGTAATGTCGTAATAGGAAATGCAATAATACACTTTTAATGTAAACATTGAACTTGATAGTATATTAATTGAGGTGAAAGACACTATTCATCTTGTGGTTTCTGCAGTGGTGAAAAAGACAACGTCTATGTCAGGGATTATTAGGAAAGGGACTGAAAATGAGCTGCATTGTAATGCCCCTGTATAGATCGATGGTGCGGCCTCATTGGGAATAGTGTGTGCAGCTCTGGTCACCGTATCACAAAAAAGGACATTGCAGAACTGGAAAAAGGACAGAGGAGGGCGACCCAGATGATGAGGGGATTGGAGCCCCTTCCCTACGAGGAAAGGCGGAAGAGCCTGGGACTCTTCCGTTTGGAAAAGAGACGACTGAGGGCGGGACATGGATAGAGGTTGATAAAATGATGCATGGGGTGGAGGGGAGGCGACAAAGAGAACTTTGTCTGCCTCTCCCAAAAAGGCTAGAACTCAAGGGCACTCAATGAAGCCGGTGGGCAGTAGGTTCGGGACGGGCAAAGGAAATACTACTTTACACAGCAAGTGATCAAAATGTGGAATTTGCTGCCAGAGGATGTAGCGATGGCTATGGGGGGGGGGGGTTGGTCAGTGGCTACTATCCATGGTGACTGAGGGGAACCTTCACATTCAAAGGCACTAATCCTCTGAATCCCAGAGCCAGGAGGCAACATCAGGGGAAGGCCTCGGCCTCCATGCCCTGTTGCTGATCCTCCAGAGGAACTGGGTGGCTGCTGTGTGAGACAGGAGGCTGGACTAGATGGACCCTCACTGCTCTGATCCAGCAGGGCTCTTCTGAGGTTCTTACAAAGGCCTCGGCCTCCATGCCCTGTTGCTGCCCCTCCAGAGGAACTGGCTGGCCACTGAGTGAGACAGGAGGCTGGACTAGAGGGACTCTTACTGGTGTGATCCAGCAGAGCTCTTCTGAGGTTCTTATCAGGGGAAGGCCTCGGCCTCTCTGCCCTGTTGTTGGCCCTCCAGAGGAACTGGTTGGCCCCTGTGTGAGACAGGAGGCTGGACTAGATGGACCCCCACTGGTCTGATCCAGCAGGGCTCTTCTGGTGTTTTTACCAGGGGAAGGCCTTGGCCTCTATGCCTTGTTGTTGGTCCTCCAGAGGAACAGGTTGGCCACTGTGTGAGACAGGAGGCTGGACTAGATGGACCACTGGTCTGATTCAGCAGGGCTCTTCTTATGTTATCTTCTACCACTGAGCCACGGTGCCTCCCCCAAGCCCTGAGCTCAAAGAAAGGGTGAATAAAAACGAGCCCCCCCAGCACCCCCCTCCCACCTTCTGGGTTGTCGTGTTGGTGGTCTGCGTCGAGGGCTTGGTGAAGGTGATTTTCACGGGGGACATATGGGGAGGCAAGGAATTGGCGATGCTCTGCATGATGCTGCTCATCTTCGGGCTGCCGGGCACC